TCCTCACATGAGTTCGCCCATTTCACGAGACCGGGCCGGCCCTGCGGTCTGGAAGTTTCAGCACCCATGTATAAACTAAAGTAACATTTTTGTGTGAAATGAGAAGAATCGTGATGAAATCAAGCAGGAGGCTCCTTCGACTGAAAACTCGAGTTATTCAATGTCATTAGGTACCTACTGCAAAAAAATTGATATGAAGGTAGAAAGTATCGAATTCCAGTCTCTGATGTCTAAAGTTTTGTAGTGTTCTCAAAAACACGGGGGTTTTCACACCAAATTCAAGCAATAATATCGACTGAAAATTGCCAAACCACGTATCTCGGATTGCGACGTTGCAAACTTCCTGTCATACCTCATTTTTTGAACGAAAAGCTACTCAACGTTCATTCCCGAACATTTCTTTTCGGAACGAAGCACATTCTGAGAAAACTTCATGGAATGATTCTGGTTCGCTCTCCTTTGAAAATATGAAATAAGAAAGTGTAAACATCGCAAACGAGATACGTGGTTTCGAGATTTGTCGTCGATGTGCAATGTAGATGACGTTTAAAGCGTTTGAAATCAATAGTCAGTAAAACTGGCGGCGGCTTTGGCCAACTTCATTCGCGTTTCTCCGAAATTCGCGATTCATCGTCCTGTGTTTAACTTCGAAATTGTCTTCTTGGTTTTTGGATTTTTTTGGTGTTTCTTGCATCAACCAATCCAAAACAAACCCCCCGGTAACCATCAATGACGCAGTCTTCTCATTTCATTTTTCCCCCACTTTAAAAGGCCTATTGACTAGCTCCTTTACACTTCCATCAACAAATTAAAAAAATAAAATTCGAAGAAATGGCAGGAAAATATTAATACGAACAAACAAATGAATATATAAATAAAAAGCAAACGTTGGAAACCCACAAATCTTGGGCAACAAATTCCTACTTCACCGAAATGTCCGGAAATCCTTGACAGGCCTACACTCCAGGTCAAAAATAAAATTTTCTGACAACATATGAAATGCACGTGCATTCTGTAGATACATCAAAAAAAGAAAAAGAGGAGATGAAAGTGGGATATATGAAATAGGTTCTTAATAATTGAAGTAATTCAAGTACAAGGGAAATCTTCATCTTCGTTGTTTTTGGTTATGTTTTAAGTGAGAGGGAAGTTTGAATTTATGGATTCTGATGTATAAACTTTGGACATAAATTTGATATTATCAGTTGGTGTTGCACTTTTTAGAGATGAAATGTGGTCTTGAAAAAATTATGAATATGATGAGGAAATACGTTTCATGGTGCCTTAAATCTCACCCTATGCGAGACGTTCAGTATCCGAATTTTAAAATTGCATCCTCATAATTTTTTGGCAACTTCAGAAAACTTTTTCATGTCTAATGAGTTGTATTTTAGGTACAATGGAAACAGGACACATCGACTTATTAGGGATTGGCCTAGTTTGTTTGGTTGTTGTATCCAAAATTCGTTATAACTGATGCATAAATACATTAAATCAATGACAAATCAATCGTGCAACTGACCAAATTGCACATCGTTATGATCAACAAGTCATTATTTAACATGTCATAATATCCAATTTCTACTACAGCTGAATTTTACACCACCTTCATAAAAATTCACCTAGCTTCACAGAGGTCAAATCTGATGACAATCAAAAAGCAGAAAACATAAGTAAATAGAACCAGGAAATATTTAAAAAATGGGATTACTTAAAAACAAAAAATTGTGTTTCGGTTGTGTTTTAAGAGTCGAAAGAAGAGGAGAGGGGAAAGTGAAACCAGGAAAAAAGAAAAAAGTTCTGAAGAGGTGGATAATTTGAGAGGTCTAGCTACTGAGCATAAATCCCATTCATATTTAGAAAAAACGAACTGACAATTAACTCAGGTTTTGGTTTTCAATACCTGCCAACTTTCCCTTTCAAGTTGCTGAAAATAGCATGAAAACTTTCTATCATCCAAAATCACCTGATCTATAGAGCAAGTAAAAATAAGAGCAAATACAAAATTAAAAGAGGATGCTTTCTACAATAAGCAACTTTTCCTGATACTAAAGCCTGAATCAGCACTCGGGAGAATGAAATTTTAAGTAGATAATGGGCAAAAATCACAATTTATTGTCTTTCTGTATGTTTGAAAGTACCTACTTCACTAAGAGAAAGAGTCGCCATACAGTAAATTAAACTTGCAATGAACTTTCACTACTCAAGAGGAAGGTGCGCAAGTGAAACTTTGAATCATTGCAATAGAGATACACATTTTTTATCTTTACTTAGCTGTCGATTAGATTTTTTCTTACTGAAGATGCAGCCTTATGTCAACAATGAATATGGCACCACTGAATAAGTAAAAATGTTTCCTCCATTTACTTCTTAAGATCTCAGGTTTCAAAATATCTTCTTCTCGGCTAGCTTGGAGATAAAGGTTGATGTCTGACTGTAGTGCTACTAAAAAAGTATACACACTGTTACATTGCGAATCAGATTATCTGACATCATTTTAATACAGCGCGTAAATGCAAGAATCAAATAGAGGATCTTATGACCAGGTTAAAAAGTGTGTAAACATATTTGGCGAGGAATCTAACCCCAATTCAGTACCACTCATACGATTAATGCACCCGTTCAGATGACACTATTGATCAGTCAATACTCCTAACATCGTTTCACTCCCGTCTCAACACACAGAGCAAACTCTTCACTCCTTGAATTGGAGAATTAGATAAGTATTGCTTACAGGAGAGTACAAAGAAATATTTCCTGTTTTTTATTTTACAGGAAAGAAGCTTGCTAATCCAAAGTTTGTTCAGGGGTAAGAGTACTAACATAAACGATCAAATTCGACGGGTAACAATACTTCCTATGGAGCTTGCTCATGATAGGAAAGTTCTTGCAATCATACCCTACAATAATAAGTATAATACCCAGGCTCCAAAGATTCCAAATCAATGTGTAAAATGACTGACACCCCGAATACGAATACAAACAAAACTTTGATCAAAACATCCCCAGGAACATTCAATGGTGCCAATTGCACTGTAAAAATAAGCCGAGTCTTTTAGAACAAACTGATTGAAGTCAATGACCGCATAGAAACATTAACCTAAAAGTGGCATAGACTTGAAAATGAATTGTTATCACGAGGAACTAAGGTGACTTTTGATATTGCTTGCATTACAAAACTCTGGACTTTGGCGGTAAGGTAAGACAGAGCAACTTGAAGCATTTAAGGTAGAAATCAGATTGATGTAAATATTGAACAGCATCCCCTCTGAACCATTCAATACTTACAATCGTCTTTGGAGCGGTATGAAACCTTATAGAGATACCATTAGAGAAACAACATTAAACATCTGCTACTCGAATGGGATTCAAGATCTTAGTAGCTTAAGAGTATAAATGAGAGAGAATAAAGAAATTTACGAGATGAAGATGAGGTGCATTGCCTACTTGACTGCATTCTCCTGGATCACCCAAATATCACTGTAGATAACAATGTAAGGTTACTTTCGGAAAAGAGAGAAAGGCGCGTCGAAATGCAAAGAAACAGACGAAAAGAGCCCGTTGATCCGAAAAACACGCAATGGTCTAAAACTGATTAAACTGAATGAGTTCAAGACAATAAATCTTCACTTTTAGTAACACACAAGCCAAGAAGGGAGCAATATTATGGTGGTAAACACACGAATCCACGGTTAAATACGAAGCGATGAAAACACTGCACTCTTCAAAAACAAAACTGAAAGCTTATCCTTTGCACTCACCAGGTTGTTTATTTGCGATTTTATTAAAACAATTCTGAAAAACTTCATATAAATGCATAGGTTCATCATCACTAGTCGCCATTTTGACATTCACCGAACCAAAAACAAAAAATAAAGCTACGATTGTTTCTTCTTCTTGATAGGAAAGTTGGTTTTCAGCCGCCAGAGGCCAGCACTAACGTGGAGTGTTTTGATATTTCGATCATTACTCTATCTGGTGGTAGAAGTAGCCAATCACGACGTCAACAAAAAATGGCGCGCTATTTTAAAAACAGAGTTTTTCACTAGACTTCCCCCCTCTCCCTCACCACCGAAAGTATTCCTAGATTCCTTGGATTCTTAATTTTCTTTCCTAGGATTTGTTAACCATTTCTCCACAAACATTTAAGCGCAAAAAGATTTGTTTTTTTACTATACAAATACCTCTCATTACTTATTTAAAAAAAGGTATGTAAAAGACATTTTTGAACGAAAAATCCCCTCTCGAAACCTGAGTGTCGCGAGCACTTCATAACATCGCGTGCGGCAAAAAATTTCTTAGCTCAGGGCCAGATTAAAGGTGGCGAGGGCAGTAAGAGGAGAGGAAAGAAAAAAGATGAGGGTAAAGGAGCAAGAAAAAATGAAGAGGAAATTGAGTAGTGTATATCGAATCGCCAAGAGAGCACAAATGGGCAAGCAATTTGAGGAGATACTTAGTAAACTCGCAGCAAGCTCCTTGGATAATAATTAGCTATTTTTGGTGTTTTAATTTCAAATAATGCGTTGGATTAATAACTTTATTTTCTCTATTTTCTACTTATTATTATTTGCGATTTTTTGGGTTATGATAATTGTTGGTAGTCGGTTTAAACGAAACAATTTAAGATAGTGGTACTCTTACCCCAGAGTCAAAATTGCAAATTTTTATCCAAAAATTCCTTGTGATGTACACTGTAACCTTGTTCATTACTCGCCTCGAACCTCTGTCACTTTTAATTCTACGAGTCTGAGATAGAAAATTTACCTCTTCCCTTTCTGTTTAACAGATTGGTTTAAAGGTCAATCAGGTTAAGCGCGGAAGAGAAACAAGATTTCGGCGCCTATCACTGAGGTTTCCACTTCGTAGGTTGAAAAATGTTGCTAAGGAAACCAACTAAATTTTGATGATGCTCAGGGCCAGATATAAAAAGTTTATTCGAGAAGAGGGAGAGTTCTAAAAATAAGGTAGGTACTTGGAAAACTAAATAAAACCACAAAATGTTTTTCTTTTTCATATAAAGGTGATTGTTTTATTTTTCATTTGGTCTACAAAGTATTACATTTTTGATGAGTGACAGATTTGCTGATAGCTGGGAAAAATGGCACAAGTCAAAGGGTTTCTTAAAAGCAAAGGACAAAGGTGGACTAAATAGTTTGGATTTCATACATCAAAAAATTGCAGCGTAAAACTATGGAATTTGATGGGATCTGACATTAACCATAAAATAGGATAATTTATGATGAAGTCTGGTACTACCGAGCCAGTTTTTTTATCAGATTCAGATCAAAAAGCGTTTCTCAAGTGTTCTTCAATTGCATTTCATGATGGGAATTCTAGAGAGCATGATGCAATTGACTGAATTTTAGTGACACAATGTTTAAAAAAACTTGAGGAGTCAAATATGTGTTGACCTTCAAATTTATGGATTTTTCTTTGCATCTGATAAGTGACTCCTCAAGGGAGAAATCAACGTCTTCTTGGTAAAAGAAATGTGCGACAAGGCTTACAAGGAAGTATTTGTAAGAATTATGAGGAAAGAAACCTTATTTCAATTTTAAAAGAGTTTCGGTGTAAAATCCCAAGCAAATGAAGCACACCGGCAAATAAGAGAACGCTAAGGGGAGCACAAACCGGAGGTAACATGAGAAGTGAATAAAAACCCAAGGTCTAGATTGATTATGAAAAACGAGACTTGATCCCCTAAAAGAGTAAAATGATTTCAATAAGACTACACAAAGATTTTTTCTTTGACGGGCTACTTCAATGAGAGGAGGATAAGGTGATAGACCAGAGTTTGTTCGAGGAATAAAAAAAAAAAAAACCATTAAATTTAGGCACAGATCGGGAGAGATAAGTTCGATCAAGATCTTACAGATTTTTGGAAAACTTATGATGCTCAACTGGTCCTGTTGCTCTAATCGATTGGAATTTTAAGAAAATCTGGCAGATTTTTACTTTATCAACGGTATGTTCTCACCTAGTGGAAAGTACATGATGAGGACAAAACTTTTAAATCCCTGAATTTTCCTACTTAGGTTTTCAAAAATTACTCATTGAAAAGTAGGGGTGTCGAGAAGGGATGAATTACGACCCATCCTACTTAATTTCCAATTTAACTATTTTTTGCTATGCATCATGACTTGGTCATTTTCAGCCTCCATTAGGGTCTAATACTACCTAAACAAGAGTCTAACGGACGATTTTGGCGAAAAGTGTGGATTTCTCAGCATTCAACTGCAAACCCCAAAACCCACATTTGTCCCCAAAAGTCAGCCTTCAGACACATGTTCAGGCCAGTAAGTGCTAGACCCGAAAAGAGGCTGACGGTGCTAAGATTATGATGCATTCCCTAAAATATAGACCTTTAATAAGACAAAAATCGAAGAATTGAGGAAATTCAGGGTGGGCCCAAGAACGGTTCTCATTGATACCCCTCCTTTTTATTTTGAGCTTAGTGTTTATGTTCTTTGAAACTTTAAATTGGGGCAACAGAACCGAAAGAAATCAGCGAAATCAATTTTCGATTTTTACAAAAATTAAAATTAATTTTATCTAAAAGTTGCCTGTAACATTTCTCCAACAAACACTGGTTGTTATATTAAGTAGGGAAAGTTGCATGATAAAGAGCCAGATATGAAACTGAGATACAAAACATGAGTGATTTTTTAGAACAGCTTGAATTATACTTTTCTATTGAACTACAACATGATTTAGAAGATGAAAAAATCGACCAAGTCCTCTGCTGAAATACAGGGTAAAACCTAATCTTAAAAAATGGGTAGTAATTAAAACATTATTAGAAATGCGATTAGATTAAAAATGAATTGTTTCCTGATTGCCATTGACTTTGATTAATTCATAAAAAATCTAAACTTAGTGAAAAATAAATTGAATTTTTCAACAATAAAATTTATCACAATCGCTTCAAAAACGTGACAAAGAAAAACACAATTTCCATAAACACATATTCAACAGAAATAAAAACTATCGATAACTACAAGGTTGAAATTAAAATTAAATAAAAAATTATACAGCGATACATAGCCTAAAAAGTTAAAGATAAAAGTGTAAAAAGGATCTTGGGAAGATTCAAAGTAAGCAACTTGATTGAAATTAAAATTACAGACAAACAGCAATTCAGAGCAATAAAAATGACCTCAGGATAAATCATGAGATATGAAGTTAAATAGATAAAAAGATGTCTCATTAGAAGAAAGATAATTATAAATACATGCACTGGAAATAAACAAGGTACAGAAAGTTATTGTACATATGCAAATTATCTCTGCATGAGCTCGTTCAGCGATTCTTAATTCTTGAAAAGTGGAGGATGCGCTTAGTTCTCAGGAATTTTTCTGATTTTTTTAAAACAATATTAAGTTACAAAAAACGCGTTCAAAGATGCATATTTTGAAGTCCTACTGAAACATGCAGTGCCCGAAAAATCAAGATGACATAAAAAAACGTTCGTCCTGTCACAGGTATTCTTAAACCCATGCAACTTCTCCATCACAATTTATGGTCTGGGTAGCGGTTACCAAGGATATTTTCTGCCACCATCTTGGCTTTCCCAAGAGGTGAAGGTTTGTAAAAAAGCTAACAAAAATGCAACTTTCAACTCGTTTTTGGTGGCTTCCTATCTTCTTTTTTTTAAAAAAAAAATCAGGGTAATTCCTGTAAACTAAGTACACCCTTTACATTTCGAACACGCAAGAACTAAACAAGCTCATTGACTTGGGAATGACTTAGGTATTCAAAGTAGGGAAACTATTTTGCACACTTAACAAGGGTCAATTAAAAAGTAATTGGAGTACATCTACATTTTAATGGAGCTATGGAAATAATACTTGGCCCCAAAGTCACAGAGCGGGGATGGTGAAAGTTGGTTAAAAAGATTATTAATAGAGGACGTTGATGTGACTTAATTATAGAGAAGACTTCAAGTGGGAATAATGTAAATGCAAAAGACATAAGAGTAAAAATTTCGAGTGTAAAACAGCTTGAAAAAATTTGAAGCATCAGACGATCTTCTTTGGTTATTTTTTAACTTGTTCTTGAACTGAGCTCATTGTACTCAGCTAGAGCTACCTACTTCCAAGTAACTGCTTAGTGGATTATGCCTTCAGGATAAAAATTTATCAACGCACCATTTCATGAGAAAATTAAGAATCTGCAAATTGTTCTGCGGTCATTTCTCCTTTCTACTGAACAATCTTATCATTCCACTCTCACAGCTTAAAATTTATACTCTGAGGGTCAAAGGGTTTATTTATATTTTAACTTAATGATCTAATTTTTTTTATTGGATTGCTTACCTCCAATAAAGGTTCTCCTATTTGTGAAAATTGGAGTAAAGAAATTCTTGACGATACAATAAAAGTGATTCATTATTTATCGACATCACCTTTTCAGGGAACAGTGGCATAACTCTTTTCCGCTTCTCTGGAAAAGTAGTTGATTTGATTTTTACAGTGACTAAGGTAAAACATAGAAAACAATCAAGGAGTTTAGTTCTGAAAACAGTCCCTTCAAGGTGGGATACGTTCTAAAAAGTATAATGTTGATTGCTGAGGTTTCATGAAAAAAATACATTTGATTTTTCTTCTCTTCTTGCCACAGCAGACAGAAATAAATGAAAAATCTAATACTTAAATACCATCAACCATTTGATGAAACAAGCTGGGCTCATACATAGGCAAGGCATACATACTCTTATTCCAGAAACAATCAAACATTCACAAACACACACATGGCAAAAACAATCATTGAAAAATATCAGATTGCATGAAAATGTAGATTGCAGAAAAATCATTCATAAATTGTTACGAAAGTTACTAATTTCCAAAATAAATAATGCCGTTTCTCTGATAAGAGACGAGGGTGAAGAACTTGTTACAAACTTTTAATAGTTGCCCTCTCGTTAATTTCTTTTAATTTTTTCTCTAACACTGAGCTCATTTCAGAAGAAGCTCTGTGCTGCTCTTACTTGTATTAATGCTTACGTCACCCAGCATTATCATTAATACCAAATTCTTGACTAGTCTCAGTCACGTTTTCAGAGAAAAATTTTAAAAATGCAGCATGCACTCAGTTGAGCGATCCAATAAAAGCTTAGTCCCAGAAATTTCAAAATGACTTTTATACACCAGTCACGAGATAGAACTACATTTCAGAAATACTATAGCATTAAAATTAAGAATACTTTAGTCTCCTGTTCGATTTAACATGTGGCAAACATATCTACAACCTAGAATTGCTACGCGCAGATACAATCTGCATTCTACAGAGAAGAGCTTCATTGTACAACATTTGAAATTTCCATAAAAAAATTAGGATGTGGCTACGATCATACATTTTGGGTTCATATCATACCAAATTAACAATTAGATATTTTGGTCCTTTAAAATCATAAGCAAATCAATGGTACTACTATTATACAAAAGAAAGTTTAAAAAAGATTCTACTGTAAATGATGATTTCAAGTACTTTGAAAATTTCTAAGATTTTGGGAATTTCCAAAAAAATTAGCCAGGAGGGGATTCAATTGATGAATCAATGGCCAAAGTGTGTGACCAAGTATCTCCGTTTGGGACGTTGCAGAATTCTTGTCTTAATTTATCCCAACTCAACTCCTTGAAAACTTTTTTGATTTTACTACTCTATCTGAAAAATATTCTGCATAGATTTCAAGCTACAAAGTTAACTTGTCTCTCTTCAAAAAAATAAAATAGGTTCAGAAATTTTGAGCCACCACTATGTAAATACAAGGTTTCACACTTTGATCATCCATCTCCTACTAAAATCAGGATGAGTCAAAAGGCAGGATTTAAGAGTTTCACAGGCAGACAGCTTACAATCAAAACTTAGGACCAAAACCTACATGTTAGACACATAACAGATAGGAAAAAAATTGAATATTAAATTCATAAAAAGAAACTGGAATTCACCTAATTTGCGGTGGTTGTTTTCTTGATTTCCATGAGGCTTACTGCTTTTGGTTGTAAAAAAGTTAAATGATTACTAATCAAAAGTGTAACCGTAACCTTGAAAATGATCATAACCTTAACCAGAAGGTACCTGAAAAATCTGATTTGCTGGTCTTAAAACTTACACATACTTTAGAAACCTTTATGAACTTGTTGATTCATACTTAATTAAACCAACAAACTTACGAAAGAACAGGAAAAAAGAAGGTCTGAGATCTAAGAGAATTATTTTTCTATACAAGAAGTCAGTCTAAAAGCTACACGCCATTAACACTCTTGAACTTCATCTATTCTTGATGAGGCAAGGGTTTTCAAGTCAGCCACCAGATTTTGAGACAGCCGAAATAACAATGGTTTAAAAAACACACTTTTTGAATGAACAAAAAACTTAACTCTTATTTTAGAATTGAATATTTTGTTAGAGAGTATTCATAGAATAATCTCTGATCTTTAGAAACAGAAGGCGGAACAGTTGTCAAGGTGACAAATTAATGTGAGGTTTGATTTCACAGTGACTGAAAAAGAAGAAAAAAGGGAGGAAGAAAGAGAGAGAGGAAGGAGTTGAAAACAATGCTGGCTGAGATTAGTGTAAAGGAGCACCAAGATAGCGTTGAAAATGTGTAAGCGCAGTTCATTCAATGATTATGACAAAAAATTCAGAAAGAAAAAAAATTCGGTTTGAATAATGAACGCCTAAAAAATTTTTTTGAGTATTATCATCAACTACTCATCAATCTAGAGCCAGAGAGAGAAAATACAAGGTGTTTGAATTTCCAACATCTTGGAAGGAGTTCCATGAGAAAAAGCAAGGTAAGTTTGCATTTCCATCATCTTGGAAAGAGAACCATAGCGTAAGTGGGTACAAAAGTCTTTATAATCAATTTTCTCGTTAAACAGTGTGAAAAAAAATCACACTTCAAATAAATTTAAAAATTTTATTTCGTGCTGAATTATGCCATAACAATGGACATTACAGTCCATTTTCCGTACTTGGATTAACAGGAATATTGATTTCATATCGTATCCACCCACGCCACAGTGTAAATTAATCGGAAACAAAAATATTTCCTTCAGAAAGTACACTAAAAATCATAAGAAATTTATATGCTTCATGTGGATGGAACAGTGAGAGGAGTATGAAACTAAAACATAAGAATTAAGAGGCTATGCAAAGCAAATAGTCCTTTAACCGGTTGCTTTCTGAAAATAGCACCTCAAACTAACAATGAAATCAAGTAAAACTGAGAGTGCAGGGGTACAGAATATGCACTTGTGCACTGCTACCAATATTGTAAGAAAATTAAACATATTTAAATTATCTCTTAATATGTAATTTGAGAAGATAATTTAGAAACCTTTTCCGGAGAAAAAGTACATTTATTTTTCAGTGAGGCAATGATCACTCACTTCAGGCATTTTAGGTAATTTGCTCGGATCAAGCTTCTTTATGGCTTTGTGGAGTTTAGCTAGAATTTAAAATCTCTCTCCTTTATCTAAAAATGTTATTAAGTTTTTGAATTAGATTTACTCCATTTCCGTATTTTAGAAAGAGCTACAGAGATATATACATGTACTTTGGAATTACTTAATTTAAACCTACTTATCATAAGTTCTCCTTTTCAATTCCTTTAAATAAAGATAATCAGTTCGAGGGAACACGATATAGGCTTAAATCCAAGGCTATTGAGAAATTTTCACAAAAATTACCAAAGTGCAGGGGAAAAAAGGGGAAAGTTGGAACTCTAAGATACTTAATCAATAGGCATAGGCGGTAAACCAGGAGAGAAGACATCCATTGTATCTGTGCAGAGACCATTTAGCCCCATATCAACATCACCTAGCAGGCAGTCTAAAGGTGTGGGCATTTGGTCTGAGTGAAGAAATGACTGGAGACTATTCGTGTCTCGTCGACCTAGGTTCACAGAGCAATTAGACCCAATAGGATCATCACTGCACAACAGAGAACTGTCACCAGAATTGAATGAAGATTCACCATTCAGAACATCCATATACAATCTGTTTTTATCTAACTCAGCATCTTCTTCATAATATGTTAACATTTTATCCAAATTATTATCTGAATCCACAACCGGGCTTTTAATTCCTGATAGGAATGGTTTTTCATCCAGCATCATTGATACCCCAAGATCATCACCTGAAATACTCCTGGGTATTTCTTTCGCGGGAACAGATTTTGATCTGGGACTTCCATAACTATCGAAGGTGAAACAAGCATCTGAAAAATTGTTTTGAAGCCCATTCGGAGCCTTGATTGTTGAAGTCTTTGCGAGTGCTGCAGAGTCTTTACGTACCTCACTAAATGAGAAAACTGGGGAATTTGGCGTAGAGACAGGAGAGATCGGTGGGAGCAACTTGCAGTGGTTTTTGGGTTTTGACATTTTGACCAAGTCATTGAAAGATGGTAAATCGTGTGTTTTTTTGGAGATAGGACTCGGGTTCCCTATCAAGCTGTTAGACTTGCAAGTGGTGGAAACAGACCGAAATCTTGCTGGATACTTGGTAGTTGCTGAGTCGGAGACTGCAACAGCACGACTGGGTGTCGTGCGAGGGGATATAAATGGACTTTGGATACTTGTGTCACAAGATGATTTGGAGTTCTCTCTCATTCCGTTTAGTGGGGAAGAAGGTCTTGGTGAAATAGGAGTAAAATTAAATAATTTACAGCGTGTGTTTGGGCTTGGAGGAATGTTCAGTGGAGTTTCCAAGTCCCGCACACCAGAATCAAAACTTGCTTGTCTTTTGAGGACGACAGAGCTTGCCGGGGATGGTAACAGGAGATTAGAACCATCGACAATTTGAAGCTCTGTGATGCACCTATTAGGTGGATGTGCTTCACTTATAGATGAAGGTTGGTAAAATGGAACAGAGCTTTTGCTTGTAGGGATTTTATTTTTCACTCCTTTGACCAGCACCATTGAGCTACGACTATCCTCCAATAATCCATCGACATGACTTAAAGATACAGTCTGATTAGAGAGGTCTGTTACTTCTGTTGATGAAAAGTCCGGCTTGAAGTACTGCAGCAATTCTTCGTCAAGTTCTTGAGAGTTGCCTTCACCATTCAAGTAAGTATCCAGCGCGTCTTTACCCAAAGCATCCAGTTTTGGCAGAGCATCATAGTTCAAAATGTCTTTTGGTTCGTCTTTAAGCACAAGTGACGGCGCTTCGCTCATACTAGAATCAATACTTTTTTCAAGGAAGTTAGTATTCTGGCCAGTTGATTCTTTCCCAGGCCTGGGTTGAATGGGTTTGTATTGACGTGATGGCCAGCCAGAAGTCTGCTTGATTACATTTGATGGAAGAATTATGATTTTAGCAACTTGACTTGGCCCAGATATTTTTACAGGTCTCAGTCGTGGAAGTGGTAATTTTTTTTCCGTACTCTGAGAAGTGACAACAAAAGAATTCAACTCTGAAACTGTGTTACCGTTTGAAGAATTTGAAATAAGGGCTGATAGTTGTTCTTGAGTTGAACTGATTCCTGAGTCTTGTAAATTAATGTTCGAAGATACATTTGAGTCAAATGGATTGCTTACGGTCTCCAGATCTTTGTCCGATAATCCATAATCACCAATCACATCTACTGAGACTGTTCTAGAAGTAGATTTGTACATGTTAGTGGAGGGAAGGTCTACACTGTAACTTCGACTGATATTTGAGGATGCCTCCCTTGGTTTACCACCATTGAGATCAGTAGAAATATCGAGATCAAGCTTAGTATAACTACAAGTCAAACCCTTATCCTTAGTCGGAGGATACTGTTTGATATCACAGATAGTTGTACACTTTTCATCTGCAGTGCGATTGGGTGTTCCATCTAGCCCTGAAAGTTTTTTGGGTTGCTTCGTTCTATTTGATTCTGACTGATCTTTTTTCCCTAGCGTTGGTCCCTGGAACATATGGAAAATATTCAGTAAAAAGCACCATAAAAACGAAAAAATGAAAAGTATTACGCCCTTTGGTGCTTTGCGACAAGCTTAAGAGAATTTTTTGTATTTTTATATGCTTCATTTCCTTAAGGATGCTTCTTCTGAACTTAGGCCGAACAACTTCAGGAAACTCAGCTTCAGTAGTTGAACGAACTAGTTTTTGCTGGAGGACATCCTGCCACACTTCATACTTTGAATGGAAAACTACTTGCTACATTTTGAAAACTTCCATGATAGTTTTTCTTTGTGTAAAAATTGTTCTGTGAAAATTTCGAGCCAAAAAAAAAATAGGAGCGTAAATTTTGAAACACCAACAAAAAACGAGTTTTTGTGGTTTCATTGTCCATTTGCTTGCCAAGTATGTTTTCCCAAATTACCCCATCATGTAGGTGCCTCTTACACCTACAATTTATACTGTTTCAGTGAAAAAAAATTGAAAACTGGCACGGCCGCCATTCTGAAAATATTTGAGGTAAGACTTACGGCTTCTTTGTGTGCCTATTCTACTCATCACCAACGCTAAATATGAAGTCGTTCCAAGGAAATCTAAAGAGCTTCTAATGGTGAAAATACTGCAACCTTCTTCTAAAATTTACTTTGTTTAATTGGGAAATACATTATACAAATTGTGAATTGGGAAATGCATAATACAAATTGTGGTCGCTATTTTAAAGATTTTGGAGGTAAAACTTCGGGGTTTTTTCTGGCCTAATTCAGGATGTGGAATATCATTCAAGTCAGAAGACCCCGTACACTCCTGGGAAAGTGCACCACAATCAATTTTTAATTCAATTCATCTAAAGATGCTGATCAAAAGTGATCATAGCACCAACTTTCTATGATGCACCGTTTTTGCACAATACGCCCAGAACGCTTCGGCGATAAAGAGTCAAAAAGAATAAGGCATTTGAGAACAGGTCTGATGTGAATAAGGAAAAACGTGGTGAGTGTCTGTCTTCTTATCTATTCCTGACTACTCTGGAAATATCTCCCTCCCACTCTCGTCCATTTGACATTCACTGTTTTTCTCCGACTTTCCTACTCTTATGCTCCTCAAGAATCTGATTTGGATGGTCAAGCAAAAAGGCGTGCATAATTCGAAATTTGACTGCCACTCGGTGCTGGAGTTCCTCTGATTTCATTGTTGAACACAGCAGACCATTCACTCGAGTGCTAAAATGAGGAATCTCATGTAAAAGTAAAAATAAAAAAAAAAATCTTTCTGACTCTTTAACGCCGAATAATTGAAGCGTTCCGGGCATATTGTGCGAAAACGATACATCGTAGAAAGTTTGGCGCAATGATGAGTTTTGATCAGCGTCTTGAGATGAATCGAATGGAATAAAGAAATTAAAAATCGATTGTGGTGCACTTTCCCATTAGGGGTGTGCGGGGTCCTTTTGTGCCAATTCAACAAAATCTGGAACACTAACCTCCACTGAAAATTTAGCATCACATGAACAAATTTACAAATACTTATATACTCAAGCTCTTAATTTTAAAGGAATGTCTTGCAACACCTTCAAATACTTACCTTCTTAAATTAACCAACCTCAAAATTCATTTTTTAAGATTGACAAATCTTTTTCTTCCTTTCTCGATGAATTCTCTCACACATTCACAAAATCAAAAACAGGAATTACTGTATTTTAACATTTGTGCTTAAAAATAAAAGAGAAAATCTACATAATTCTGAAAACAACGATAACAGAATGTAAAATGAAAGGTGTATTACCGATATTTTCCTTTTCCTGGTCTTTGAATTGTTTTTGGTCTGATGTGGTGAGATTGCAGTATCACTACCTTGAGAAACATCTGAAAAATTAAAGATGCTATCACTAAATCGCAAACACTATAAAAACACTAGCAAAATATAGGGGAGGACGCTAAAACAATAAATTTGGGCTTAAAACCAAAAATTGCATTGGGTTTGTGGATGTGCTTTTGTCCAGAGGTGGGTGCATCTGATGAATGCGCCTCATCACACTCACTGTAAGCTTTAATGGACCACTAGACAAGGTACGAATTTCAGCATTCTGATACATGTGTCTTCACCAAAATTTCACGTAAAACACGATACGCACAACGAACATTACCGAAATCAACTCCTTCAGAAGATATTTAATGATTCTTGGTGCGTGAATTGAAACCACCCGCTCATGAAAACTCAATGATCTACGTGATTCACATCGCGCGCTAAACATTATCATGATCGTCTCTACGATAAAAAAATCTGGCAACCTCAATCTTGACACTTTGGCTCACCTATAGCAAATTACTTATAGTTTGAAAAACACATGGTGGGAAATGAACATTGCTCGATTGAGAAGCTTGCTGAAACCGTTGTAGTGCGCGATTTGACTCACGTAGAGTTTTGAGTTTCTTGTGAGCGGGCAGTTCAAATTCCTCGTCATCAATGTGAAACAAAAATGTTAATATCTCCGTTAGGAGTTGGTTTCAGTAATTTTCGTTGCGCGAATCGTGTTCTGCATGAAATTCTGGTTTAGAATCATGTATCAGAATGCTTAAATTCGTACCTTGTCTAGTGGTCTATTACTTAGAAAAATGATGGTTCTTTCAACTCTCATTTTTCCCACAGCCAGCAAGAAAAGGATAGCCTTCCTTGATCAGAGATAAAATATTTCATCATTTTCGCTAGAAAATACGTCTGAATTCAGCCCTTAATTCAGCCTTTAATTAAGAACAGGGAAAGATTAATTTGTATTTAAAGCTTATCATGCGTAAAGAGCATCATGTAAACAGATAAAGAAATTTAGTCGACGCCAGATCTTTTCATAACCCATGCTCTTTCCATTGAAATGAAGTTGGAAAAAAAAATTTAAGTAGTTTGGCTGATCTTCGAAAAGGAGAAGAGGCAAGAATTCCTGGGGTGAAAAGAGTTTTAAGATTAGGATGATTGTTGAGGTAGACCTTATTTCAGATAAATAATAAACCCTCCTCATAGCCTGTGTTAGTGGCAGTTATAGCATCTATGCACGCAGAAAAAGAAAAGTAAAATTTTTTGAAACTGGTTCTATTCCTTTAAAATATCCGTTCAAAAAGTGAAGGCACTGAAAATTTACCTGTTTCTTTTTTAATTTCACTTGAGCAGCCATTCAGGAGCACACTTGACCTACTGCCTCCACGATCACTATTCACAGATGCGCTATTCAGATGGTTGCTTGATTTCTCTTCTAGGGTTTGCAGGACAGGTGCAGACTTTGTGTCATTCTTCCCTGATTTTGTCTCAAGTTCCTGAAAATAAATTTCCTAGATAAAATGAGTAATTCATAACTCACATATTTTAGAAAATACGCTCATGAAAATTCAACTTCAGTAAGTAAGAAGTTCTCAAACTCTAGTCTGCTGAGATTCACATGTATGAGACTTGCAAAACTAATCAAAATATGTTCTAATTTTTTTATCTCTTTTTTGTAACATTTTATTTTTCACAAACAATTTTTTTATTTTTATTTTAAATTTTTTTTTTTTTTTTCATTCAAGTTTATTAATGTTATTTATAAAATTTTTGTGGGTGAATCATACAAGGGGTGTGTCTGATATTGTAGGTCAAATGTTTCAAAGGTCTAATGCAGATTGAGTGTCCATGAATTGGACCGCGTTAAACAGAAAGGAACCAAGCCACATCAGCTTTTGCCAAATTTAATTGGGCTATTTAATTTTTTAAATGAGAACAGCTGTGCAGATTTCCGTGCGAATTTTAATGAAAAATCTCCATAGTTTGAAGAAAATTCCTTAAAAATTTCAAAGGAATTCGCACAAACCTTCTCTCATAAAAAATTTAATTGCCCAGTTAAATTTGGCAATAGCCGATGTGGCTTGGTTCCTTCCTGTTAAACTCCGTTCGATTAGTAATATTAAAAATACCTAGACCTTGAGAGTTTAAAAATTAAAATAAATAAATAGCTGACATCTTACCTCACACAAGTTCTCTGGTAAATATGGACAGCTCAATGACCTTCTCTTTCCAAGTCCAGAATAGCAATACCGAGAATTACCTCGAGTGCCAAGCCTTCTGGGACGTACTTCAGGAAAAACTTGTTTCATCACCTTCCCAAAATCAGCTGTGGATAACGGTTTCATGCTGTTTAGGGCGCAATATTCTCTGCAAACATTGTAAAGCAAGTTGTGCTATAATAATAAAATAGTATGGAAAGCCTGGCTTGGAGTCAAAATTTCTTCGAATAAGACGGAATAAAAATATTTTGCAAGATTGCTCAGCCACCTTGCTCAGGCCTTTGTGAGCTTTTTGCTTAGCCACCTTCTGGCAAAAGTACCACAAGTACCAATTGAGCGTCAATCTCCAGACCAAAGCAAAAAGGAAAAAGTTAATCACAGCTATTATAAGCACAACAGAAACTTGAAATTTTTCATACAAATTCAGAATAACTCAAATCATCTACCTAGTTTGGATACAATTTAAGCAGAGGAGCTAAGTTAAGTGTCCATTTCTGTTTTCAGGGTTAGATTTCTTTGCACTTTGTTCTTCAAATGAAACTGCTTCTTTCAATGCAATTGAGCAAACCATGTCACAGATACTCTTGGAAAAATATTGTGAAAATTAGACCAAGAATTGTGTTGCTTTCGCAAAGAATGATTGTAAACCATAAGCTACTCAGGCACCATTAGCTTTGTCATGCATTAAGTTAGGTACTTTCATACTTACAAATACTCTGCATAGATATTCTGTTTTGGTAAGGAAACATTTTTATCTTCTATGAAATGCGTTCGCACCCAGTTGATTGTTTGTGTGATCTCAAATCTACTGCCAAGTGGGTTAACAGGACTGCAAATATTTGTAAAAACGTTTACAAAATTATTAAATTGATTATGGAAAGGTCATTATAATCACAATTTTGGTGTCAACTTCAACAAAAACAATTGAACACCTGTAGGTGCCTGTGCTTACCACACAAGATGACTATGATTGTTTGAAACTTTTTGACCTCAGAGGTTTTGTTACTCCTTGGAGTTTTTTCATATTCAAGATAAACAATGAGACAGGTCTACTGGGAGTGACAAGAACATTGGACATTTTATTTTAGATTTTCCAGCAAACTCAACTTGCGACAAGATAGTGGAAATACACCAGCCCATGTACAATAACATTTCTCATGAGGAGTTGGTAAATGACCTGCCAAAAGTTTCTCTCTCGGAGTTCCAGAACTAAAGCCAACTATGGCCTCTTTCACCTTTGAAAACGACAAACAATTGAAGAATCATTGCCGAAAAAAGAGAATACTTCTACTTAAACTTTTCCATCTAATACATAAAGGTTGTTGCCAAATTTTCTCAGTTTACCTTGTTCATCCTTCTTCAATCTGCGATCTCAAAATCGCTGACGGCAAACTAAGGGCTGGCTCTGAATGTTTGATTTCAACATATGGTTTTCATTTCATACCCACAGTATGTATATATTCCCATTTAATTTTACAACTTCAAACAGAAGTTCAATGGCTAAAAAAATTTTGTCTAGCCACTAGGTACATTCAAAGCATTCTGAAACTGAATACTTACGATTTGAGCGGGTTAACAAGAGGCTGACCGGTTGGAAGCTTAAGGTAAAGGAGCAATTTCTCGGGAGGAGTAAGTTGTGACACAGACTCTAATACCTGGTTGACATTTTGCAACGAAAGAGCACTGTAACATAAGGTGTAAATTATTAATTGCTGCACATTGGAAATAGAGAAAAAAAAGAAAATTGAGAAGAAGCTGAATTCCAATAAATAGTGCTGCTTGCCAATTCTTTTTGTACTACACTCAAGGCACGCAAGTAAATGACTGAACATAGTATAATAATCTGACAAAGGAAATCTGATTAAGTTCCTTGGACAAATAGACAGTGAGGCAATCATTTTTGGATAAAAGTACACTTTTGCACCTGAGAAATTTGTGTGTGTAGTTGCCTATCCCCTTGAGCTATTATATATGCCGAGATCGATAAAAAAAAACTTTATTTTGTGATGCCACTTGAACAAGGCGTAGAGCATATCTACGGTGTAGGTCGGCAATCACATAACTCGGTTTTCAAGATTGCAGACTTCCGGTCATACTTTATTTTTTTAACGGAAACTCCTCGATGGCAATTTTTTAAAACTGCCATGATTTTTCTTCTCTGTGCGTGAACAAAATTCTACGTAAACTTCACGGAATGGTGTCAATTTGTTCTCCTTTAAAAAAATAACATAGAGGCGGAGATTTTTAGAAACCGTGAGCGAGATATGTGATAGCGGACTAATGCTGTCCATGTACTGGAAATCATAAAAAAATAGATGCTCGTAGGACTAAAAAAAAATGGATCAAGAGGAGTCATAGTTATCGGTGTAAGAGAATTGGGCGGATGCTCCAATAAACAGACTAGTGATAATTATTTTGATCCATGAATGTAGTAAATATATCAATGAGGTTTGCAGCAACTGCCCTTAGCCAAGCACATTTCGTAAGTAATTAAACAAAAGTCGGGATCAATTACAAAACTGGGCCATCATGTGAGCAGAACAGGAGTACCTGATACAGGTCCAGGCTTATTGTTGAACTGGTTGGGGTAGGTCAAGATGGAACTGTTTGCTTGCTTCATGCTTAAATGAGGGTAAAGGATGCGGGTGCTACGGGGAACTAGAGAGCTACAAAAAATAATCATGTTGAAATGGAGGCAGAAGTACCTACAGCATACTTGAGACTGGGTGAAGTGATATTCCCAAAAAGAGAGGAGTACTTGGTCCTGATGGGAAAATATGACTAAAAGTGAGCGATAACGGCGACCGTTCAATTGGACGCTGAATTAATACTACTTTACGATGATGTAAGAAAGTTGAAGTATGTACCTTGATGTAGAAGGAGCTTTCGGCATTGTAGCAAATTGATTTCAAGGGTTTAAAGCCCCTATGGAAATCGGACGGAGGGTTCTATCATGAGACCAGGAACGCGACGATTTTCGAAATGCATTATCGTAATCGCGACGGAACAGACGAATCCACCCATTACACCATGAATATCAGTAAAAAATCATGCCGACAAAAATTCATTTCACCGACCACAGGAGTCCGACACTGACAACAACCAAATCCTCCATTTCTCGATGATCAGCTGTTCGATGTTTTTTTCTTTATCAGCAGCTGATCACTGTACACTGTTGCCGCTTGACTACTGTCATTTTCTAGACACCAGAGTCAATAACTTAAGTACGGATCAAGGAGGCAAAATTTTATGAAAAATAAAATCGTGAAATTTCACATGAAATATAAGTCATGAAGGCTATTTCCATTTAAATCTTCCGTCACATTCATACGGCGCAATGATACAACTATTTGAACTCTCCGGAATGCGTGAGGTATCACGTCGCATTTGAAGGCGTTTTCAAAACAGCTTAGTTCCGATACCCAGATTATCGTTTTGCATAGTTCATATTCTTTTGTTATATTCCGTACCACTCGTTTATTTTTAATCCTCGTAGAAAAACCACCCATTTGTAAATACAATTCTAGCTGAAGCGCTCTTCAGCGATGCATTCACCACTGCCAAAATTTCAGAGGAAATCGACAAGCCAAGCGTGCATGAAGGCAGGCCCGCCGCAAGGGGGGATACTGGGCCCCTGGTACCGGGGCCCGGGCCCCGGAGGAGGCCCGTGTTACCCGTGAAAAACCACTACGAATTCACATGCAACCCTTGTTTCGTAAGAAAAAGTGAAAAATTTACCCTATAAATTTCGCAAAAGGTGAATAGATTTTCAGAAACACGCTGCGGCACTGTAGGATTCTTCTTAAATTTTCAAAGAAGGATACTTCTTGGAAAATTTCTATCTATTTTCAAGATTTTCAGTATAGAGGGATATTTTTAGTAACTGCGTTTCATTTTCTTCCGTCGTCAGATGCTAAGAGTCTCCAGTCTGGGCATCCTCTACTTCAATGGCTCATGGCTCAACTCCCTTGCCATAGACAAACGAAGGGGGAGTCCAGGGGGGCCTGGTCTTTTTAGAACTGAAAATAGTATCATATGCCCCCCTCCCCCCAAAATAAAATTAAAAATGTTCCAGATGTTTTGAATGCAACAATTCGCAAGTATTTTGTGCTGAAAGTAGAAAAAAAAAAACATAATTATTCCGCAGAAATTGATGGACAAATCCTTTATGGAAGCTTCAAAATGCGTCCGATTAGTCGTATAAATTCTAAAATTTCTCGGAAGATGCCCCTCGGACCCCCCCCCTCCGTGCTTGGGGCCCGGACCTTAAAACTGGTACCAGGGCCCGAGATGGGATGTGGCGGGCCTGAATATAACACGAAATTTTATGAAAAATATTGTGAGGTGTCTCTAATTGTGAAGCATCTGGGTTTATCTTGGTTTACCCGTGCCTTACACGGGGCGCTACATTCCATGCAGTTAATTATTTAATTAACCCAAAACCATAAAATAAAAACACTATAATGACAGCAGGATGCCAAGTTGACGCCAAGGCACACACCACTTTGATTGCTAAGCTCACTCACTGCGTGTCTCTCATTAGGTCGAGTTCGCCTTCAATAACGTTGACGGCAGTATGCGTGGCTTGGAAGCACGAATAGTTGCTCGCAGTAACTTCACCCCTTTCGCTCTGTCCTGGAAAGAATCACACGTTGATTGGACTCGACTTGTAGGTTTTCATCCTCTCTTGGGGACTTTATCCAACTTTTCCACTTTGTCTGTAATAAGATTTTGGAGGCTTTTGCTAGATTGAGCAACAGCTAACTTTTCAACCAATTAAAAACCTGGGATTTTTCGTGAAATTTTGGCAAAGAGTCAGAACAGAATGAACAAATACTAACGCTCAAAATTCTGTAGGAGGATCTGCTTGGTTTAATGTTCATTTAATTATGTGAAAGTATTTTATTTTACTTAAGTTGTCTCTAGTTTTCCATGTGCTTTACTTCCAAATCTTTTGACAGAATAAATTGGTTTACCTGCAGTGTTTCCATTTTTATCATTGATCAAATACCTACAATAAGGCACTAAAACCTAATATCAATTATTTGAGAGCAATAGTTGAAACATCAAAGATAATCTCAGAGATAAGATTATTCATGAAAAAAGTTAGAGGTTGGGGTAAATGAGAGAGCATGTTAGAGACATTGTAATTGATGGGATACCGTGAATGAAGCGACAAATGATTTCAAGATGAATAACTTCTGGCTTTTAAATTAGGTATTATGGAAGTATTTGGGTATCATATCAATCGACTTCAACAGAAACAGGCCAGATCGCATTTTGAGAGGAAAATGGGATTGATAGTAAATTGGAATTCAACAAGTTATAAGTTTTCTCCATTTAAAAATTAAGACAAGAAAAGAAATTTCGAAAGAAAAATAGTTACATATGAAACTTGTGTCCTTAACATTGAGTCTTAAGGAGAAATACAACTTCAAATCCTTTTTTCTTAGTTTAACTTGTTGCGACTTGGCACGATTCTGTTGAACTCAGTCCATCTCACATTTGAAAAAAAAAGATTTAAAAATATATTGTTTATTTTTTAATATAATTTGAATGTTACAAAAATAAAGGTACAGAAAAAAAGAATTAACAAAATTTAACTTAGAAGAGATGCACCTAGAAACATGGTGGGTCATAAAGAACGGGATGTACCTGTCCATGGCTAGACTTGGAAAGAACGTATACGGTTCAAAATCTTTCCTCTCATTACAAATTTCAAAGGGTAAAAAGTCAACCTTTTTGCTTGATATCTGTGTAGAGTATTCTTCAAAAGGAAAAAAGAAAAACTGGAAAGTTCTCAAGAAATTATGTTGATGAGTTTTCTGATTGGAAAATAAGTATAGGTAACGACTAACGAGAGATCTACCACATCATGAACTGTGTTACTTAATCATGTTCCTATTTTAGCCATTGATAGGTATGGAATATAAAGAGGTGAAGTTTAACTTCGATATTAAAATGAGTCACTGAATACTGGAAAATATGAAAATAGGAAAAAAAAATACAAAATTATAGATGGGTTTGAATATTTAGGAACAAAAGCATACATATCAAAATAAATTTCATTAAAAAAATAAAAACTAAGGGACTAATGAAAGGTACGTCAAATTGGCACTTTACTTTATGAGGATGAGGGGATCAAGATGAGAAATGACAAGAGTCATTCAAATGAATAAATTATCGCAACCCTTCAAGCATAGTGTATTCATGGATTAAAGCTTAGAAAATTTATCCTCCATGAGAAATCTAGGTACTATCTGAGTTTGCAAGGTGTATCATATTAGTTGTATCATGTGCTATGCATTTTTGGTTTCTTCAAAATGTACAGTTTACAGCAATTAGGAGTCTCACATCGATGGTGAAACTCTTAAACTATGTATATTGTATGCAGTGTTTTACAATCATCACTCCTGTTTTATCTTTTTGAAGGAGAAATAATAAGCATCATTCCTTGAAGTTTCACAGAATTTTCTTTGTACAGAAAAGGAAAGCTGCGGAAATTTTTAAGAATTGCTCTTCAGTCATTTTTCAATTAAAAAATAAAATATGGCAGGAAGTCTGCAACATTGCAAACTGAGATATATTGTTTAGGAGTTCCACCATTGACATAGTGTATGCTACTAATATGATTACCTGCGGATATTTTCTGCTCGAATAATCTCATTCAAACATTTTCAGTGCAGTGGTAAATTCATAATATTGTGTTAGGTATATAATTTTGTTCATAATAATTCTGAGGCGATGTTTGCTTCTCACTCTTGAATTTGCGTCTTCAGCATGGGATATGCCATGAGATGAAGGGATAACAACACACTTATTACTAATTTGTATGAAAAGCTCCCGACACAAGCTTCTGAAAACAGCCCAAAGGAGGATCCAAAACTCAAGGCCAAGAGTACAAAAATAAATCAGATATAATAGTAGTCAATGGTTTCAATTAAAATAAAATTTTCTGATAAACACATTTTCCCTGCGAAATTGTCTATACTTTGCAGTAAATAAACCTATTAATTAGAGCAGTAGAGGAACAATTGACATGATACAAGACTCCGCCTCTACAATCCGACAAATAGCGTGAGTAATTCTGAAAAGCTAGCTGACATGAACAAAGATCCTCACACAAAAACCTCTTAATGCTTGTCCGAAAAGCATAGCGGTTTTTAAAACAAATGCACTTGAGCATCCCTAGTAGCAAAACCACAGAAGGAAAAGATAAATATTATGTACGAAAGTTAATTTTTTTTATATAATGCATGCATACAAAAGTGTTAAAAGTGAACATTTTTATGTAACCATTATATAAAAAAATGTAATAATTTTCGTGAGCTTTTCGCGAACATACTAAAAATTCCTCTAATTCGCGTAAAGCTCACGAAAATGATGACCTATTTTTTTATATAATCATTACATAAAAATGTTCACTTTTAACACTTTCGTATGCATGCGTTATATAAAAAAATAAAAAATGTGTGTATAAAAAAAAAATTTTCTTATCTAGCTTTTATCATTTTTCATATATTACGGTCAGGTCTGAACTTTGATTTTTTTTTATATAAGCGTTACACATTTTTTATATAAAAAAATCATTTAGATAACAGATATGTTTTTTTTATACTTTTTTTAGAAAAACAAAAATTTGTTCTGCTACTAGGGATGTTCCAGTCAGTCTTACTTAAGTATATACATGCTCTGTTTAACTCTTAGGTCAATTTTTAAGAAAATAAAGGCTCAAAGCCAGGCTGTAAGTATTAAAGATAAAACTGATATTCAATAATAAACGCATATTAATAGTAAAAAAGGAAGTTTTTTTAGGTAATGATACAAAAAATGTAAAAAAGAATATAAATACTAAAAAAAAAAAAAAAAAAAAAAAAAAAAAAAAAAAAAAAAAAAAAAAAAAAAAAAAAAAAAATACAAAATACAAAACAACGAGCCTCTCATTCATGGCAAAAAAAAGGGGAGAAAAAATGGGAGGGGGCGAGTGAGGGGAAAAATTGTAGCAAAATGCATTAAAACACATTTGACACAGCTCCATATTTGAGGGTATCTAAGAATAAAACTCAAGTTGGTTCTAAGTTCAACGTTCGAGCTCATCTTATTAACCATGGTAGAAAAAATACTCTCTTCAAAGAAAACCTATTGGACAGATAAAAATAGTACTGACACCAGAAAAATTTAAAACTTCATACTCCCAGAATAACGCAAGGAGGGGAAAAAATAATGACTGATAATAACTAAAAAAGAAAAGGAACAACTGAAAAATTATGCTGAAGGGACTTCAAACCTGGAACAACAATTCGGGTATTTGCCCAGAGTAAACATTTGTTTTTTTGCCTCGGTCATTTTCACATATAGCAATATCATCATTTTCATCGTAAAATACAAATGTAACTTTATCTGCAAGATTCAAGTTTACAGACACAGTGTCAAGCCCATGACAGCCGTACAGGAAATACTCTCCCTGAAAAATACGAAGAAAACATTTTATGCATCTAATAAGAATCAGAGTTACAATATTTTAAAATAGTTCATTTTGATTTTCACTCTGCTAAACAAATAATACCGACTGAGAAACTCCCCAATAACATATCCCATTAAAAATCTTCACTCATATTTTATGACAAGAAGTCTGCAATGTCGCAAACCGAGATACAAGGTTTAGCAGTTTCACCATCGATATAATAAGGCAATAGTACATGTTAGACAAGTGATTCTTGATTCCTACTAAAAGAAGGTAAATCAAAATGAAAAATAAACGTTGATAAAAACATTGAAATGATAATAAAAATTGATATTGACAAAAAATACTTAATCTTGCTTCTCATAGTATCGGAACATAAAGTTTAACTGAAGATTGCAAGGGTTGAATCCACTTTGTTCATCAAAGCTGTAATTTATGGATACAAATGATTGCTACAGAATTGCTGCATTGATTTTAGACATATTCATTGTAAGCAAAACATGCTCAGAGATCCCATTTCTGTGTTCAGCTTGACAATGTTTAGCTTAGTTTTTTAATTGAAGTACAACTCCGGATTTCCTTGGAACAGCCCTTGTGTGTGATGAACTTTAAAAAATTCAGCAACAGTCACTATGATTTTACGACTAAACACAACTCATTTCATGAAAAATTCATGCACAAATTTTCATTAAATGACGACTCTCCCCAAAAACATTTTCCCCTACTTTTTCATGCGTCACTTTATACACACTCTACAACATTTAAGGATGCGATATTTGGATTTTGCAGCATTTTGATTTTTAACATTTTTGACCACGGTATACTTACACTTACTTTAAAGATTCTTACCTTGATTTTAACAATGAGTTGATATTGGATGTCAACACCCAAATGAACCGGCTCATGAAATAGAACCCTAAATATTTTCTCTGAACCATCATAAAACCCTGCAACTTCACCCAAGACGGTTTCATGTTCTTCGACTAGCTTCATTTCAATATGGAAATCAATTTTATGGTCTAGACAGCCGTATAGTCCAATACCAAGGAGAGAGACCTCGCGGTTGATCATGAAGCTGAAATAGAATAAAGGGAGTTTTAAATGCCATTTGAAAAAGTCCACTCAAAGTAACTAAGAGATTCATTTCTGATTAAAACAATTTCTCACCAAGACAAGCCAGAGTTACAAGGCAGGCTCTGAATAGAAAAGTAATGCAGCCAGAGTTTGAGTTTTTTACTGGTTCCACCGAATTCTTACCAAATTATTTTCTTGAAGTATTTTTTTATAAGTTAAAATTAGATAGAATTCTGATGTAATTTACTGGGTTGGGCACAATTTTCAACAGTGATTGCTTTCCATGGGTCAGTTGGATTATATTTTGCAATAAGGAACCACTATTTCTGGCCCATTTTAGGAACAACATACATACCATTGGTTTCCCTATGCAGATATGTACTTTTATGAAAGAGCCAGTGATAGTGGTTCCTTATTGCAAAATGAAATCCAGTTGCGCTGGTCATAGAATCATGTTTTGATGGTTAAAGTTTGCAGAGCAGCAAAAAATAGTAAGATCTGTTCAAATGCCGAGTTTCTATGTCCAATGTTAACTGAGATATTGCTCATCGAAAAACACTGCAAATGACGTCATTTACTGCAGTAGCACATACCATGGTTTAACCAGCTTGGTTTCATAAATCAGTGATACACACATTAGCGCTAGTTGTTCGATGTAAAAAACGGATGAAACTAAGATGGAAGAAACCATCGGAATTACAACCGCAGGATGACATCATGGGTCATGATTTTCGATGAGCTATATCTTCGTTGAAATTGGACGTAGAAACTTGACATTTGGACAGATCTTACTAGTATTATTTGCCAAGCTATAAGCTTAAACCATCAAAACACAACTCTGTAACGAGCGTAACTCACCCATTATTAACATAAAAACCAAAGTTGGTTTAGAGGAATATAGTAAAAGAGAAAACATTTTCATTTGAAATTACTTCAAGGTAATGGGAAAACCATTTGTAACTTACCCAAGATTATGGATACTCGGAGAGCCCCCATACGAGCCTCCTGTGACGATTGACTGAAATCTACTAACAACCAGGGATGCTTGACGTGGAATTTTGCTGAACTTGTTGTTTTGAGGTTTTGACTTCCCGATACAATCTAACAACACGGAATTTGCTTCTGCTTCGGAAAGAATACCAGAGTCCATAACTTTGGAGGCAAAGTCTTCGGGATCCATCAATGGGAATCGCATCAAGTATAAGGCATCTCTTAAAACATGGCGCTGATTATCAGGGTTGATTACCAATTTCTTTCTCTCACATTCTGTTTCGGACCATCTGAAACAAAAATAATTGTGGTATAAATAAAGCTCTAGCAAACAGCCCTTTCTTAATCATTATTAATTGGACTGATTAGTTAGGCATATGCGACTATCCAAAATGCAGATCTTAACAACTGAATGATACAGTCTGTTGAACTTTTTGGAGTTTGTTGATTTTTTCACGGAATTTTCAGTATGAAAATCTACAGTACAACCCTGTGAAAATTCCTTGCCATTATCCCATTACAAGCATCATTCAGTAGTAGCACTGTAGCCTTTTGTCAACCTTCATGACAATGGGCCTGTTGCAAACTTTTGCTGGAGCAAAAATAAGAGTTGTTTCTTATAGATGATGTCTCAAAAATTACAATGAGCTCATTCGCAAACTCTGAAATGCACTCCTGACTTCACAATCTGCATAAGAAATTTGCGTTTTTTTAAGCTTCCCACTTCAAAAAAGATACTACGGCACAGATGAACATTTCATTAGGAGTCGTTCCATTCAATCCCTGCTCAATATGGCCGACGCTTTCGCGCACAAGTTGAGGAGAGCATGAGGTCAATCGAGGCGAATATCTATCAACACGAGAAAAATGTGAATGTAAAACAACACGTCGATTAACTTGTCGATTGTTATCAGGTGGTTAGAAGTTAGAATAATCATCCCATCACATGTGTTTCGGCGGATGAGCGTCGGCTTTGTTGAATATTGGGTAGTATCCTTGTAAGCAGGGGTTGGATGGAATGACTTCTCTAACAAAATGTTCACCTGTGCTGTAGTATCTTTTTAGAAGCGGGAAGCTTGAAAAATGCAAATTTCTTATGCAAATTGTGAAGTAAGGAGTGCAATTCAGACTTTGCCAATGCGCTCATCATGATTTTTGAACCATTTTCTCTGAGTATCAACTCTTACTTTTACTCTAGCAAAAGTTTGCAATAGGCCCATTAGATGAGAAAGACAAGCTTAACTTTGATTTCCTCTTTAAGCCTTGATTGTACAATAAGGGATTTCTTGAGCTGAAATAAATATCCAAAGTTGAGCACTCTTAGTAGTATGTAAGTGCATTAGCATAAAATTTAGGAAAATCAATTAATCAAGGAAAAACACTAAGAAGGAATGAAATGGGTACCAACCTCAACAAGGCATCAAACAAATGAATTTCAACTATTTTCAAATCGGATCGTTTCAAAATCAAGCACAAGGTTTCAAAATCAATATTCAGAAAGTCATCGGCCATCAGAGCTTCCTCTGTATCACCTGCGATGACCTTCAAGCTTGCGTCAACTACTTTTTGAAGATCAAACAATCTTGCCTAAAAAATCATAAGAACCAAAAAAAAAAAAAAACAAATATAACTGAAATTAGGTACTTACTTAACAGGGAATTTAGTTCAGCTATAATGTTTAAGCTGCATACTTAAGAACAAATGATATAACAACTGCAACTTGATGGCCTTAAATGTTGTGCTGCGCTTATAAAACTGATAATTAACAATCCTTAATGATAGTGATAATCAAGGAACATTAATCGAGCATGGAAGTTGATTTAGGGGAGAGCTAGTAGCACTGATGTGCTTTTTGGAAATCATTACAGACGGATACTTAGATGGTTAAACTGTAAATTCCTATTGTGTGCAAGATTTTCACTTGAAGCAATCACAATTTTCTTACTAAGTTGTATAGTTTTAAAGTCATGATGGGGCTCTCTTGAAATATGTACCTCCGCAAAGTCTTGGATTAATGTAAGTTTTGACTTAGGATTTCAAAACATGAATTGATACTTTTTGTTCTTTGCATTTTTACTCTGAGCTCAAACCTCTTCTCTGACTGTTTGGGCATATGACTTCAGACACCTGAGTACATGTTTCGAAAACAGCCAATATAACCACCTTTGATACACAAGGTATCCACTTTTTTAACCCTGATGAAAGGAGGTCATTATTGCTCCAAAAACTTTGGGCTTTGAGCGTTAGTAAATGGAAAAATTCATCTAGAACAGGTATATATTATGACTTAATATTCAGATTGTAAGTATCTACTTAAAAGAAAAATTCAAAGTGAAGAAGGAAACCTTACTTGGATCAGGATACTGAATGAATTTTCCACACACAACTGATCAAGTAGAAAATTTGCACACCTGTTCTCTAGAGCGAGGATAGAATATTTTTTAGCAGCGTACAGGACGGAGGAAACATTTTTTACCGTCAGGGAAATATCATCAGAGTACAAGAATCTGAAACACACGGATAGATGAAGAAAAATATTGATAAAAATACGTAATAAGAATAGACTGAGGTTAGTCCTGATTTGTAAGAATTAAATTAAATTTTAATAATTTAAAATAAAAAAAAAAAAAATAATAATACTTACTCATTTCTTAAAAATTTCAATAAATTATAATGAAGGACTGTCTTGAGCTTATATTTGAAATTAAATAGCTCCAAAATGACAAGCATCCTGTCAAAATGTTTTTTAAGGCTTACAAGAGGAAAAAATACTTTGATTACGTCAGTTCTATTGAAATTTTCTCTTCAGCTAAGTTTTCGACATTGTGGATGCAAGAATATTAAATAACAATGGTGTTAGTCAAAAATCACATAACTCGGTTTGCAACGTCGCAGACTTCCTGCCATATTTTATTTTTTAAACGGTAAACTACCCAACGGCAATTCTTTAAAACTGCAGTGATTTTTATTTTCTGTGCGGAGAAAATTCTGAATAAACTTAAAGTAATGATGTCAATTTATTCTCCTTTAAAAAAAATCACATAGGCCCAGAGATTTTCAGGCACCGCAAACGAGATATGTGATTGCAGACTTACGCCATCGATAAGTACTTACTGGAGCATTTGTTTGAAAGCCGTTGGATCGACATCAGGTACCGTGATTTCTGGGCGGTCAGTTGACCATTTTTCACTAAACATAGTGAGAAAAACTACACTGCTAGCAGCAAGCACCAACTTGTGAGCACTTATTGTTTGACGGTTTGTGTCCTGACCCACAATAAAATGAGCATCGCAAAAGAGACTGTTCTGAAAAATGTACTCGAATCGTTCCCTGAGCTCAGATTTTGTTGATTGCCAATCCCAGGCATATTGGTCAGGAATAGTTTCTGGTGTTGAACAGTTCGATGAGTTTTCAGACTGAGTCATGGTAGAATTAGCCTTAGACTGATTGCGGTTTTTCTTTGACTTAGACTTTGACTTCGACGGTCTTGTCATTTTTTCTTTGATACTTGCCTTTTGCTGCAAAAAAGCGAGTGAAAAATTGGTTAGATACCTCAAAAATAAAATAAAAACCGGTTTTTTCAATCCTTCTTGATTGAATCAAACTACTGAATAATCACGAAAGTTAGCCTTGATTTTAATCTTCATGCTATCAGACATTCAGACATTTATCAGACATTCTGACATCTTGTTATTAAAAATGCCAAAATGCTCATAGCACAATAAGATTCTTCCAGAGAAAAAACCAAGGTCCATATAGACCCAGGTCAGTCCGTAAAGAAAGTTGAGTGTGATATTATTTGGGAAACAGCAGCAAGAACAGACCACGTTGCCAAAGGCTTTCCCCGATTTGCTTGTCTAACTTTGCTGTTCCCCAATCTGATCACATTGGTCTTGTGCCAATCGGCAAGAGGGAGACTAAGCTATAGGGCAGCTCAAATCAGGAAACATTTGGAAAGTGAAACAGCAAATCAGGGAGGGACTTTGTAGCTAGGTCGGGAAATTCCAAAGAAGCGTCTTGCTAATGGACTGATCCCGGTCTATCAACCTTAAAAAAGCAGCGTCAGGGACAAGCAACTCGTGTATTTCTGATGCTTGAGCATTCCATGAGTGCAACTGCACTTGAAATGCGCCCACTTCTTCGCAAAATTAAAAAATTCTAGTTTAAATAACATAATTGCTGAATTGAAAAAGAACAAAACCTACATTAATTTCTTCGTTATGGTTTCTAATGTGAATCCTCATTTTCATTAATATCACATACCTTGATTGCTCTCTGCTTTTTCCTTCCTTACTTCCCCTCCTTTTCTTGCTTGTTTTCCTCACCTGTGCATTCTGTCTCTACTGCGCCCCATTTTATCGGCGCCTGATGCGAAAGCTCCTCTTGCTCATAGCTTGTCACAACCTCGTATATATGGGAACGCTGCCTGTGTCAGCAACTGATAATCCCATGATCACATCGGCCGAAAAGAACATCCTTGGTCAATATGTTAAAATTGCCAAAACCCCCAACGACTAGAACAGTGAGAGATGCTCAAGAAGATTTTAAGGTTTCAGCCAAAGGTAAGGAGCAGACTCTACAATAGATCTCAGAGACCCGATAACAGCCTGCCTAATACACCTGCGATAAAAAGTCTGGTTGTCATGTTCATACATGCTAAATAAATGTTATAAAGAGCAGACAATAAATACTCATTAACTCACTTCTTTGAGAGCAAGTAAGTTCTCTGGTTGCAAATCCTCAGCTTGAGTGATGAAAACTCGAGATCAGAAACTTGAGGGAAGATGTTGGTAATTGAGAGCACGTGCTAAATTATCGCCCATGAGGACAGAAGACCCAGACAGGAAGAGATAAAGAAAGGAGCAACTCAAACCTCAAACCGAGCTGATAAGTGATAAGTGTGTTGGGGTTTAAATAATAATGTAAACAAACGTTCAATGGCAACACCGCGATGTTCCATAGTCAATTAGCCAATCGCTGACGTTTCTTTTTCCCGCGCGAGGGAGCACTTAAATAATTTTGAGCGCCGGTTTTAAAATGACGGCTATCATCCACCCTTTCAGACAGAGCACAGGGGAGAATGGAGATGTTGCATGTGTGAGGGATTTGCGATTTGACTATTGATTCTTATGTAAAAGTTTACGAGAAACACGATGGTGCCACTGTTTTCTCTAAAATCAACTCCCAAGCTCAAAAAAAGCTCTCAAAGTGAGGCCAAAATGGAGGGGATAACCCACCCTACCCTAAGAGTCCACCTCTACACAGGCCCGCCACATCCCATCTCGGGCCCTGGTACCAGTTTTAAGGTCCGTGCCCCAAACACGGAGGGGAAGGGTGTCCGAGGGGCATCCCCCGAGAAATTTTAGAATTCATACGACTAATTGGACGCATTTTGAAGCTTCCTTAAAGAATTTTTCCATCAATTTCTGCGGAATAATTATGTTTTCTTTTATACTTTCAGCACAAAATACTTGCGAATTGTTGCATTCAAAACATCTGGAAAAATTTTTCTTTTTGGGGGGGGGGGCATATGATACTATTTCCAGTTCTATGAGGGCCAGACTGGAGACCCTTATCATCTAACGACGGAATAAAATGAAACGCAGTTACTAAAAATATCCCTCTGTGCTGAAAATCTTGAAAGTAGATAGAAGTTTTCCAAGAAGTATACTTCTTTGAAAATTTAAGAAGAATTCTACAGTGCCCCAGCTTGTTTCTGAAAATCTATTCACCTTTTGAGAAATTTTTAGGGTAAATTTTTTATTTTTTTTCATTTTTTTTCTTACGAAACAAGGGTTGCATGTGAATTCGTAGTGGTTTTTAACGGGTAACACGGGCCCCCTCCGGGGCCCGGGCTCCGGTACCAGGGACCCAGTATCCCCCCCCCTTGCGGCGGGCCTGCCTTCATGCACGCTGGGCTTGTCGATTTCTTCTGAAATTTTTGCAGTGGTGAATGCATAGCTGAAGTGCGCTTCAGCTAGAATTGTAGGTATTTACAAATGGGTGGTTTTTCTACGAGACTTGAAAATAAACAAGTGGCGCGGAATATAACAAAAGAATATGGACTATGCAAAACGATAATCCGGGTATCGGAACTTGGCTGATTTGAAAACGCCTTCAAATGCGGCGTGATACCTCACGCATTCCGGAGAGTTCAAATAGTTGTATCATTGCGCCTTAGAAATGCGACGGACGATTGCAATTGAAATAGCCTTCCTGCACGCTGGTTGCCGTGCAAGTTCCTTACAAAAGGAGAGGGGGGGGGGGGTTAAAAAGTCGGCTAAAATGCCTCACGTAATGCTTGAACGGCCAATGAACTAAAGACATGCTGAATATGTTACGGTTTCATCTTGGTGCACTTTTAGACAGCTGTCATTTTCTTGAATATTGTTTTGTTGTAGATTTCACTGTGCAACAAAAAAAAATGACTAAAATGTCTCCAGGACGAGATAAGGTGATCCTTAAGTATTTTGAGGCGCTGAATCCGAATATGACCTCCGTTTTTTCCCATCACCCTCCACTTTTCCGGAAAAGTCGATTTTACCCGGAAAAATGGCCATTTTTGGTGTTTTTGCGACTATTACCCCCTGCAGAATGTAAGTAAAATTTTTCTCCGGTACGAGAAACGGCCAATCCGATGTATTTTGAGCCGCTGAATCCGAAAATGACCTCCGTTTTTTCCCATCACCCTCCAGTTTTTCGGAAAAGCGACTTTTCCCCCGGAAAATGAGCAAATTTGAAGTATATTTGTCATGCATGCAATTTATTTGTATAAATTTTTCTGGACCCGTGGTACAGTCATTCTTATGTATTTTAAGCCGCTGAATCCGAATATGACCTCGGTTTTTTTCCATCACCCCCCAATTCTCCGGTAAAGTCGATTTTTCCGAGCCTAAATTTGTGTATAAGCTTTCCCGGACTCAAAGGGGATCAAAAATATATTTTAAACGTGTCCACGACGTGCGATACATCGATTTTTACGTATTTTGACTCGCTGAACCCGAATATGGTCTTGGATTTTTCCAATCACCCACGATTTTCCCGGAAAATCGATTTTCCTTGGAAAACTACCTTTTTCGGTGTTTTTTGGACGATTTTCCTGTTGTGAGGAGTCTAAGAAATTTTCTGAGATCCTCTCTAGGTCTCTTCTGCTATATTAAGAGCAACTGAATCCAAATTTGACCTCTATTCATCTCTGACACCCCCCCGTTTTCTAGAAAGTCCGATTTTTCAGGGAAAAAAGCTTTTCCGAACCGTCCCCACCTCCAGGGAAATTTGAAAATTTTTCCGCACGTGTGATACATCGATTCTTATGTAATTTGAGCTGGAAAACCCGAATATGACCTTAGAAATTCGTTATCACCCACCATTTTTACGGAAATTTCGATCTTTTGGGAAAAATGGGTATTTTTGACCATTTACGGTGTTTTTGCGACTGTTGCTCCTTGCGGAATGTGCGTTAGATTGTTCTTAGCTACAAATTAGATTGTGCATCAGGTATTGTGAGTCCCTGAGTACGGAAATGGCCTCTATTTTTTTCTATGAGCCCTCAGTTTTGTAAAAAAGACACTTTTTGCCGGGAGACTGAGTGAAATTGACTTATTTTAGTCTGGCATGCAATTCTTTATTTAAATAATTATCCTGGATCCGTGAAGGGGAGATTCTTATGTAGTTTCAGATGTTAAATCAGAATATGACCTCAAATTTTTCCCATCACCCTCCATTTTGTCGGAAAAGTAGATTTTTCTTGGAGAGCGTGTTTTTTGGTATATATCCGAAATTTTCCGAGAAAATCGAGTTTTTCGTAAAAATGGTGGGTGATAACGAATTTCTAAGGTCATATTCGGGTTTTCCAGCTCAAATTACATAAGAATCGATGTATCACACGTGCGGAAAAATTTTCAAATTTCCCTGGAGGTGGGGACGGTTCGGAAAAGCTTTTTTCCCTGAAAAATCGGACTTTCTAGAAAACGGGGGGGTGTCAGAGATGAATAGAGGTCAAATTTGGATTCAGTTGCTCTTAATATAGCAGAAGAGACCTAGAGAGGATCTCAGAAAATTTCTTAGACTCCTCACAACAGGAAAATCGTCCAAAAAACACCGAAAAAGGTAGTTTTCCAAGGAAAATCGATTTTCCGGGAAAATCGTGGGTGATTGGAAAAATCCAAGACCATATTCGGGTTCAGCGAGTCAAAATACGTAAAAATCGATGTATCGCACGTCGTGGACACGTTTAAAATATATTTTTGATCCCCTTTGAGTCCGGGAAAGCTTATACACAAATTTAGGCTCGGAAAAATCGACTTTACCGGAGAATTGGGGGGTGATGGAAAAAAACCGAGGTCATATTCGGATTCAGCGGCTTAAAATACATAAGAATGACTGTACCACGGGTCCAGAAAAATTTATACAAATAAATTGCATGCATGACAAATATACTTCAAATTTGCTCATTTTCCGGGGGAAAAGTCGCTTTTCCGAAAAACTGGAGGGTGATGGGAAAAAACGGAGGTCATTTTCGGATTCAGCGGCTCAAAATACATCGGATTGGCCGTTTCTCGTACCGGAGAAAAATTTTACTTACATTCTGCAGGGGGTAATAGTCGCAAAAACACCAAAAATGGCCATTTTTCCGGGTAAAATCGACTTTTCCGGAAAAGTGGAGGGTGATGGGAAAAAACGGAGGTCATATTCGGATTCAGCGCCTCAAAATACTTAAGGATCACCTTATCTCGTCCTGGAGACATTTTAGTCATTTTTTTTTGTTGCACAGTGTTTCCATTGGATGGAATTCTATTTGCTGAATGTAAACTAGCTCTCTCTGTTCAATAAATGGACCAAAACAAAGTGAAACAAAGTGCCTGATTTCAAATATATTAAAAAATTGTGTGTATTGTCATGAATTTTATCATAGGCAGAATTTCCATAAAAACGTTAATGATGATTAAAATAATTTTATTGATAATAACTTCAAATAAATGATACTAGATATCTAGCAAAATGACATGAAATTCGCTGCAAAATCAGCAAAACAATGCGACTGTGATCCCTGATTATTTATTTCACTCATACATCATTTGAGTTGCAGCACAGTTAAACAATCACTAATGTGGGTTGGATTTCAGCTTTTTACAACAGAATTTGCACTAGACATGGAAACACAATATTACAGCAACCAACAATGCATTCTATAAATTTTAATTGGAGAGAAGGCTCATAGTGAGATAACAAATTGTTTGAAGACCCTGAGTATAACTTAAAGTTTTTTTGCAGAAGTTTTTAGAAACAAGTAAATGATATCATGATGTTAAGTTAAGGATTTGCGTACTTCATGGAAGTATCATAAGTTGTTGTGGGTTCTCATCAAATAAACGAGAGATTTGTTATTAGAAGAAAACTTTCAAATGAGAAGAAAATATACTAAACATGACACAAGCTACTTTCTTAGGGAGAAATGAAGCACCGAGGTAGAAAAATTGGTGAATTTAAAATGCTGATTGTAGTTTTTGAATGTCTTTACTTTCCTACTTTTACATTCTTGGAGGATGAAAACTAGAAATGGAAGAAAATAGAGTTTCAAGAGATAATAGATCAATAATACATAATTAATAATTGTAGAAAAAAAAGAGAGATAGGTACTTGGGAAATTACATTACCATCACAACAGTTATTGTGCTTGAGAAGTGTGATTGACTTTGAGAGAGGGAAGCACTCAGTAATTTTGTCAATACAAAAAATAAATAAAGTAAAAGATGAGCCTTCAAAAAAAAAAATTTACCCAACAGAAAAAGGCTTGGGCGAGATGAAGTGGGACGATTTGTTATCATTTTCTTAAATATTGAGAAAGCTTTTGCGATTCAATATTTGTGGAGGAGAAACTCAACTTGAATATTCTCTCATGGCCTCTCCCTTTTTAATGATTCATTCCAATCAGAGGCAAAGCATAAATCACCGGCTATCGATAGTTTCTCACTTTAATCAAATCTATCTTTAAAAAAAAAAAAATCGATTATTAAGGTGTTCATTGAGCACCCTGATAATTGATCTTTTTATACATGGGGTTCAAGGGCAAATCAATCGATCCATTGCAAAGTATGCCATGCCGCTGATTGCAGTGTAGTTTGGCCTTCAACATTCACCCTCGCCTCTTTCAAAAACCTTAAATAATTATATCACTATCGAGAAATTTTTTGGGTCGGGGATCTATATGTACAATCAACAAAATAATGGATAAAAGTGTCATAATACTTGATTTATGTTTCACGATTGAATGATCCAAAATGGAAAAAACGATGACGGATTCAGTTGAAATAAAGAGAGTATCTACTGGAATACTAGACGATGACTTGAAGATGGCAGAAAACATACAACTCATGGCAAGTCAGACTCAAATCTGCCTGCATTCTCAAGTTTTGTCACTTCTACACTGTCTGGTGACTAGTTTGTTAAACCTGGATAAGACTAATGAGATACTGGTCAAATTCAGGTTTGAATGATGAATTGATAGACCTACGTCTGACTTAAAGCCCTGTGTCAGACCTAGGTTTGATTCAACTTCAAAGATAGACTGTGATATTATTTTCCTTGGAATTCGTTGCTGTGAAGTTAAACAGCAATTGCAAGTCTGTAATTGAAAAGTTTCAGAGTTATTATGAAGATATATTTATTAGGGTAATGATGGTGAGAATTTCAATTTTGATTATTTGGGCTAACTAACACCCTGTCCCAAAAACACAAATGCAAGTTTTGAAACAAACAGGGAGGAACGTAAAATTTCAAACAATATTAACTTCTAAAATATTTTTAAAGTAAAGAGCCATAAGTATGTTGTCAAAGGATCAAGTAACAAATTTTAAGTATAAAACAACATTGAAAAAACATAAAAAATATTAAAATACTGCTAAAATGTAAGGAGCAGGAAATCAGAAACACTCATCAGCAATAAAATGCATGTTAAAGACTTAGAGAACAAATGACAAAGAGAGCAATAAACATTTCATAAAATAACAGATTATAATTATGTTTTTAAATTGCTGGTAGAGTTAATATTTGAATGGGTAGCTTGAGAACAATCAATAGGTTAAATTGTCTGACTGAAGCTAAGACTAAAGGGCTAGGCGATTAATGCTTTTCGGCGCTTACTAATACTTTTCCATCGGTGATCTTAAATACACAGTTATCAAACTCAACATATTCACAATTGTAAGGATCTCTCTTAAGTACATCTATGAGGAAAACTTGCGTGTTTATCTTCATTCAATTTGAACTGAATGCACCACTTTAAAGTTAAAACATTGCAAAGTTGCAGTATTCCTGGATTGAAGCTACCGGAGAGCTTATGCTACCTGTGGTTCTTAAGATCTGCTTGTAGAAGTGGCAAAAGTCTTTATCATTAAAACTATTCAGAAATTATTCAGATGTAAGCCCAAAAGAGACTAAATATGAGAACCAAATGTTATGTTTTGCTAAAAGCAACTCAATTTTCGGCCAATTTTTTTCTTCTTTTTTATGCAATTAAAAATTAAAGTGTGCTTGTGCTAATTGCCAGAGTTGGAACTACTAATCTTGGTTATTTTTGTTCCCTCACTCAGCCTAGATTGGTTTCATTCTTCAAATTTTCGGCGTTCAAAGTTTTCGTGTTGAAAATCTTCCATGCAATCTCTTTCCACTGAGGGAAACCGCACAACTATAAGCCTCAGGTCCTTAAAGCTGTTAATTTTCGAAGATGAAAATAATAATGATAATAAAATAAAAACCAATTGTGATTAAGTTAAGTGGGAAGAAAGTTGAGCAAAGAGGGGACTGGAAAAAACATTACCTATATAACACAATGGAAAAGTATTTGAATTATGAGCGAGATGAAAATGGAATTGGCCACACTCGAAGATTATTACAGGAGAAAAAAAACTGAAACATAATGAGATCTACTGAAGAGGGAGGGAGAGGGGGGGGGATCTGCATAATTCATTGAATTTGAGAAAAAAATCTAAATTTCCTGTCCTAAACTACAATTGCACCTAAGTAAAATGCATAGACACAAAAATGTTGTAAGACTAAAATGCTGATTTCACAATAATTCTAAACATCCAAGTAAGCCTGAGCAAGTAAACATATTTGGCGTTTAGAAAACTGAGAACATAGTTCAGGACAAATGACCTTTTTTTTTCAGGAACACTCAAGGCACACCAGAGTATTATAACGGAGTTCATTTTTTATACCTACTTATTCAGTCATCTTAGAAGCTTTCCTCGAGGAGGTATACACATTCGTAGAAACGTCCATTCACCTTTATCCTAGTGGTGAAAATTTTAAATTAAACTAGATAATTATCTAAGTTGGATGCAGTTTGACGATTAAACTTCTTGTCGAAAAATTGATCAATTACGTAATTGACAAAAATGCCTAGCATCGCAAAACATGCTTTTTCTACAGTTTTAAATTAGGCATTTTTATTAGTAATAAAATTGCTTAAATAGTATTTCTTTTTGGTAAATACCATTTTTTGCAACATAAAACTGTTTTCAACATGAAATTATTCTCACACAAATTTGTAATATTACTCCTTCAATCAAACCTTCCTTTGGCATTTGGTAGACTTGCCCCAATACAAGCTAACAGTTGCAATTTAGTTGAAAATTGAAAGAGCGACATCTTGTATCAATAATTTTCGCACATATGTAGTTTTTACTTATGGCTTTATTTCTTGTTGCTTTTGAAAATAAACAAATGCAGGAAACTTTCAGTTGTAAATGCATGTTCCTTGCTTGTTCTTGAGAATTCCAAATATAAGGTATAAAATGTTTCCTCGAATTTTTTTTTTCAGGTTCCTTGATAGATGACTTATTAAGAACATAGATTTAGAACATTCAGAAACTCAAGTAGGAGGATAGAGAAGGGACTACAAAGCAGCAGTTCAGGTTATCATACCAAATTTTCAGATGTTTCATTCCCAAGGAAATTTATGGTTTAAAAAAATAAAAGACTTGATTTCAATGCGTCATCGTCAACAAGAAATGAGAAAAAGGGTCAGAACAAAGTATTTTTACAGTTTCGCCGGTTCGTTTAAAGGCATTTCCTGGGACTCTGATTTAGTCATTTTGCATAACATCCAAAAGAATTTTTTAATAAAAGAATACCAGGTAGTATTAAAACGGTAGGTGGCTTTCTCATCACTTGACTAGATTTTCCTCGAACTATGAATGGTTCTGTACCTTGTAATTAACATTTCAATAAATTTTGATGACCAACTACCTATGTCAGCTCCCTATTCAATAGAACTTTTTTTACACTAAATAGAGTATACTATATGATGATTAGAATATATTTCTGAATAGAAAGAACGGAAAAGGGTCTTGATGGAGATCCTCTATTTTCATTTCTTTGCACAAGGCCCTTAAGATGCTTTGAAAAAAAGTCACTCAAAGATTACTCTGAACGTCACATGGTGCAGGAATAGAGAGTTTTCACAGGCTAATTTTTCAAATAATATCAATTATTTTCAGACAGGACATTTTTCAACCACGTTTCGATGGAGAGAGGAAGTAACATAATTTACGAAGATAGCCACATATGAACTTCAAGGATAAAACTGAAAAAAAAAACCGCAATTTAGATCCTATCAAAGAGAGAAAAGCAACCTTGGTACATGCACTGCAGTTTCCAAGCAATCAAGAATAAGGAGGCTAAAATCAAAACATGTTCCCTGCAAGTCTTCCCCCTCTTAGTTGTTCAGAATTCGGTGCGAAACGTATAATACGTGGGGGGGG